CATTCCTAGTCTGGAATGTGGTCACTGTCGCTGCCATGCAGGCGGTAGTTACGAGTTTCACATACTCTAAATGATATCTAGCAATGTATTTTTGTGCTCTGTGGAGGACGTAATTGTGTGAGACCACTACTTAAAACATCATTTATGCAATCTATACGAGTCCTACTATACTGTCAGGAGAAATCAGTTGAGCAGAATGAATAGATTTCTTCTTCCCCCTGTTGATTTATTTAATTACTGCTCTAAAAGTACATTTAACTGTATCTCTCCTGTCTTTATCAAATCAGTTCAAATTATTCAGAATTCGGGTTGAAATGGTTTTTCACCATGAAACAGGAAAACAGGAAAAAATCTGCCCACAACTACCAAGACAGCTGGTCCTCTAATTATGTCAAACAGAAAAGATGCATCCAGGTTTCAGAGAAACGTAAAGGTCAGAGCACACAAACCAGAGGGATGTCCTCAACTACGAAGATAGCATTAGACATGAAAACATTGTACGTCTGATCTGTGTATGTGGATAACCTCAGATCTGAATTTACAGGTTTCTGGTTGTAGCTATGAGTCGAGGCAGATTCTTCAAGATTAGGCAGCCCATCAAAGTTGATATCTCTGAAAGAACGTCCTCTGGGAGGTGAGAACTCTCTCAAACAGTGTTGTCATGGAAAGACGATTCCCTTCATTGGCTGTTGTCCTGTATGGCAACTAAGAAACCAAATCCCACAACTTCAAAGCCTTAGCTTCCATAATGGACTTTGGGTGTTGTTATTCTGCCCCTTTCAAGTTCCTCAAACCCTGGCCTGAACTTTCACCTTCCAGGTCTAATGTCTGTCCCCCTTCAACAGTTTGAGAAAAATGCTTCACTCAGCACTCTGTCATACCAGCTATGATCATTGAAGTGCCACTGGTGACATGACCTAACCAGTTTTCAGTATTCCAATACGTTTCATTGATCTGTTGTAATTCTCGTGAAATAAACTAAAAATTTAACTTTGCCATAAATCCACATAAAAATGAGACAAAATATAATTCTGTGATCAAATAAGACTTGATGTCCACTTCAAAAGACTGAAGATAAAGAATAACAAGTAAAGAAATAACAATTTAAAATCTAAGTATTAAAAAGAAACATTTCTTCTTGGATGAGCCACAGCCAGCGCTCACGATTTCCAAGTATTTATGTTTGATTTAGGGGAAAGTGACTTAGGGACTAGAGGAAATAATACTTCGCTCTTTAGCAGATCCAATGAACTCACTTCCAGTTTCACTGTTCGTCGATTAGGCATCTATAGTATCCATCTATGCATTCTGCCCCTCACATCTGTTTAAAACCTGGATTCAACACTCCTCTGCTTTAACTGTCTGGTTTCTCACAAATGAATAACATCATGTTAGTGAGTGTTGAAGAAGCACAGCTGTGGAATCGTGCAAATAAAATCACACTGACTCATTGTGCTTTAGGTTTTTGGGGAGGGAGTATGTGATGACTGTATGTTGTAATGCTGCAGGCAGTTCCACTCCCCTCCGGTGAAGATAACACTTTGTAGCTCAAAAACTACACTTTTACACTCGGCCTGAAACCAAAGCAACATCAGTCTAAGTCAGTTTATATGCTGAAGTCTGACTTTTATAGATGCTTTGTGCTCAAATCAATGTGTAAACAATCACAATTAACCACTTGTAATTAATGATATGTGACATTTAAAGATCTCATAATAACGCCCCGAAAGAACACATTGCTGTCATATAGCCGGGGCACTTGTGGTTCCTGGGATATTTAAAAGTAAAATTGAAGGAAGAGCCTTCTGGTTTAAGATCCCTTTTCTGTGAAACTAACTCTCAGTTTAGATTCAGGGGAAGATACCCTCTCTACTTTTAAGATTAGGCTTAAAACTTTCCTTTTTTATAAAGTTTACAGTTGGGGTTGGATCAGGTGATTGTGATTCCTCCCTTAGTTACACTGCAACAGGCCCAGGGTGGTAGGGGCTTCCTCTCAGTGTTTCTTGTTGACTCATCCTTTTTCGCTCATTGTGTTCTTACACAGTGAGTAGACAAAACAAGTGTCTTTGGTCCTGTCTTCCTCTCCTCATCCCCAGCCAGACATCTCAGATGGCCACCCGTCCCTGAGCCTGGTTCTGCTGGAGATTTCTTCCTGTTAAAAGGAAAGTTTTTCCTTCCCATCGTCAGTAAGTGGCTGTTTGATTGTTGGGGTTTTCTCCATATTATTGTAGACCTTACAATATAAAGCTCCTTGAGGCAACCGCTGTTGTGATTTGGCACAAATATATAGTCATCTGACAATTTATTAGATATACCTTACTAGTACGAGTTTTGCCTTCAGAACCATAATTCTTTAGGGCATAGATTCAGACATTTTGGTCCATATTGACGTACTCATAGCATCACACAGTTGCTGCAAATGTATGCTGTAAAAATCCGGTTCCACCACATTCCAAAGGTGTCCTTATAGACTGAGACCTGATGACTGACAACCACTGGAGCACAGCGAACTCACTGTCACGTTCAAGAAACCAGTTTGAGATAATCTGAGCTTTGAGACATGAAATGTTATCCTGCTACAAGCAGCCATCAGAAGATGGCTACTACCATGAGTGGATGGTCAACAACAATACTTGGGCAGCTGTGGCATATAAGCAATTCTCACTTGGTACTCAAGCGCCCAAAGTGTGCCAAGAAAATATTCTCCACATGCTCGCAGCATCAGAAGCAGCATGAACCTTTGACATGAGGCAGGGTGGATCCACACTTTCATGTTGTTTACACCAATATTTGGTTACAGCAGAAATTAAGAATTATCAGTCTAGGCAACATTTTTCCAGTCTTTTATCGTCATACTTTGATGAGCCTGTGCAAACTGCAGCCCGAGCTTCCTGTTATGACCCCTGGTGTGGTCTTCTGCTACTGTGGCCCATCTGCTTTATAGTTCAACATGTTGAGAATTCAGAGATGCTCTTCTGCATACTTTAATTCTCTTCTGACACTGGACACCAAAAAAAAATTATTTATTTATAATACAAAGATAACTGGGTATTTTCTTTTTTTATGTCTTACACCCTAGAGATAGTTGCCTGGAAAAAGGTTTTGTTTTTTTAAATCCCAGTAGATCAGAACAAGCCATGCTAGCAGGCTGTCTTAACCAGTTCCACATGCGTAAATGCATTGAGTCGCTGCCATGTGATTGGCTGCTTAGAAGCAGTTGAATTTATGCAACTTAAAAAAAGATAATTAAAAACTTCACTATCATATAACCCTAACATACTGTATGATGTATGATGCTAAATTTTAAAAATAGAAATAAAGAAATCACAACATTTTCAAATGTAAATTGTTTATTTCATAATAGCTAAAATTCAAAAGGTAGAAAATGGGAGTTAAAAAACAGACAAAAAGTAGGTCCTTGTAGTCAATTGCAACATACAATAACTTTCAATTACATTTAAAATAGGGAAATAGGAAAACTAAGAGGTTTTCCTATTTCCCTCTTTCCCACATTTTTTTTTTTTTACCCTCCAATCAAAGCACAGATGTAGCGACACAGCTGTCCCATCGCCCATGATGTTCACTCCAACTCATCAACCAATCATTCAAACTTTCAGTGAGGGACAAAAATCCATACCCTGTAAGAGCAGACACTTTAAACAAGGTTCACAAATTGAACTGATCAAAGAAGAGCTCCTTTACCTTAAACTGCTCGGCATTCAAATCAGGTCCTTCCCAGCTTGTAATCCCCTTTGAATTCACTTCTAGACCCGGAGCAAGTGCCAGAGGAAAGACACGTCTGTGAACAAAGACACAGATTCAAAGACTCCATAACATGCTTTCAATCTACATGAATCAATTCTAACAAAGAGAAACAGTGTTGCTAAAATGTTATTAAGTAAGTAAAATGTTATTTATATGGCACCTTTTAAGATTAATATTAAAGTGCTTTGCAACAAAATACCACAGCATTTTTTTAAAAGTTATTACCATTGTTGTAAGTGCCAGGGTTTGTTTTGTTTTTTTACTTTCATTTATTGCAATACCACAGTTTAAGCAGCATGTACCTGTTTAATCTGGGTGCTGGACATCTTCTGATGACGACTTACCATGAGCTGGCATCTCCTGCACTGAATCTAACAACCTATAAAGAGCACACAGGCTAAGAATATCACACACGCATTTCATATATTAATTTAGAAATAGTAGAAAAATATGACTAAAATGTATGAAATGAAGGATGATACAAATAAATAAACTTTGGACAGAAGCATGGGGCCATCGATGAAAAACCCATGGTAGGCAATGGGAGATGACTGACGAAATGTGACTTCAAAAACACGGAGAAGCCGGTGTACACAGCTTTAAAAAAATCTTTGTGTGGCCACAGAGTGGAACGGAAGTTTAAGTTGCTTATTTTTTGCGACTTTTGGGAGTGGACATTTCCGTACTTCATTAACTGCGCTGGATTTGAGCTTTAAAGTTAAATCAACTTTTGGTTTCTGTTTGCAGTCTAACTTGGCAAGACTTCAAGAAGGCAGTGGTAAGTCTCGGGTGTGTCACAAAAAGGGGGGAGAGGGGCAGGGGGTTAATAAGCGTTATAGTTTTTCACACCTTACATGGAAAACCAGTCTGGCAGGTTTTCTAGTAGTGAGCTGAGGATTAAAAAAAATAAACACCTACCATGTGTCATGCTGATAATATCAGGACTGAAGAGTGAAACTGAAAGTGTTTCAAGAATAAAGAAAGCTAAATCTTATCTGACGAATTGGTTTTCGTCCTAAGAGGCCAACCGCAACGAAGAATAATTTCACAGTTAAAATGTTTTTGTTTTTTTGTTTTATTCATTTATTAAAAAGCCTTCAAAAAAAGCAATCTGTAAAGTAAATAAAAATCATACATAATGGTGGCTAAGGAGTCTACTGTCGCATGAAAAGAACACAAAGTGTAAAAAGAACAAAACCACACTGAAACTTCATGCTAACATGTGTCGCAAATCTCAAAGATTGCTGTACAACCTCCCACAGCAGGTGTTGTATTTAAGCACTGCTATGCTGAAATTTCTTTAAAACTTGGATCAATAAGCATTTCGTAATCAACCAACAATCTTAAAATAAACAATTTTTGCTTACAAAGCCTACACGGTATTTGTATCTAAATGAATCCCTTGTTCTAAAAAGAAGAAATAGGTCACAGTTTCCCAGATTACATTTTCCACTTAGAAAAATTGAAAAGCAGAGTGTCCAGTTTTGGTGACACTGGAAGTCCAAGCACCTATTCTGCAAAACATTTTGAAAGCTTTTAACAGTAAAACAAAGAGGAGGAGAACAAGGCATGACCAGCTCAGAAGAACTGCAGACAAAGAAATCGTATATTTTTAAATACGGGGCTGTCCGCAATACAGTATCTTCCAGTAAGTCTCAGCAAACGCAACGCAATCCGCCATAGACATGGGAGGGGGGAGGGGTGCGTATAGCGCCACGTGCATCAGCAGACGACGACGATCTTGTCATATTCTAAACCTGGAAAAAGAGCACACCACACATGTCAAGGAGCGCGTTTTACTTAGGATTCGCGCAACACTGATCTGAGAAGTTCAAGCAATAATATTTTAGGATTCTAGCAGCACCGTTTAAATTCCTTTATTATTAATCTGAAGGAAATTTTGAGTTTTGGCTGATGGTTTAAAGCGTGATTCTACCTCAATTAACGGATTCAGCTCTCATGTTTATTATAACTTTTGTTTCCGTGTCATTTCTGCTTGTTATCAATGTGATTAATGAGTTCATGAAGCATCCACTCTTTGTTCTCACCTTGCATTACACTCGAGGTGTCTAATAGCCTGCATAGCGAGGAGGCGGCGGCGGTGGTGGTGGTGGCACTCTCTCCGAGTAGGCTTCCCGGGGACGGGGAACTGTGTACATCGGCGTCCTTGACATTGGAGACAATCGAGAACGCTCGTAGGAGTAACCATTACCAGCTGCAGGAGCAGGCGGAGGGGGAGCTCTTCTGATAGGGCTTCGATCCCTCGCCATGTAACCTGCAGGAGCGGGCAGTGGACGCCGCTCATACGGATTAAGAGAGCCCATTCCGAGACGCTCCCTAACCAATGCAGAGGGAGGAGGGGGTGGAGGGGGGATGGCACTGGGACGCCTGTCATCGAAGTTCGGGGCGTAAGGACGGGCTCTGTATTTCTCATAGAAATCGACCACCCCATAAGATTCTCGATCGCCATAGCCACGATCAGGATACGCTGCTCGTCTCGGAGGAGGGGGAGGTGGCGGGGGCGGAGGAGGAGGAGGGTAAGCGGACATGCGGCCTCTGTAGGGAGGCTCGGGTCTCTCCCCTGGAAAGGGAGGAGGAAAATAGCCTCCTCTCACAGGCGGAGGTGGATACTCCTCCTCCTCTGGTCCCCCTCTCGGTCTGCTTTTTGATATTTGAACGTGTATGCGTTTCCCTGCGAGAGAGAAAAACATTGTCCCTCAAATCTAAAAAGTAAGGAACCCCTGAAAAAACCCTTATAAACCCAAACATTTATGCTTACCTTGAAACTCTGTATTATCCAGGCCCTGCAAGGCATCCATGGCCTCGTCAGAATTAGGCATATGCACAAAGGCAAAGTTTTTGACGATGGAGCACTCCGTGACATTGCCATACTCCAAAAACAGGTCACGGAGCTCTTTGTCAAAGCCCTTCTCCACATTGGCCACGTGAAGCTTCACGGGGCCCTGGTTCTTGCTTCTGCTTGGCTCTACGTTGATGGGTCTGCCATTCAGCTTATGAAGATGCAGTTCACGGATTGCTTTGGTGGCAGATTTGCGGTCTTCCATGTGAACAAAAGCATAGTTTTTGTACTTGGCACATTCTGTTACTGTGCCGTACTGAGTAAACAGAGCTTCAATCTCATCCTTCTCAGTGTCCTGAGAGAGGTTACCGATAAAGATCTTTACCATTGTTGCTCCAGTGTAGTACCTACAAAAGGTAAACACAGGATGTGTCATCAGAATCCACAATAGAATAAAATAAGCCTCTGTCCTGATCTCCAACACAGCACCGTTTACTGAAGAGTTTGGGTGGGTGTTTTTGCTTTTTAGGAATCAGAAGTAACAAAACAACTGGGTTGATGATTAATGTGGCAGAACACCTAAGAGGATGTTAATACTAGTCTTGAGAAGGATATATGTACGTCACTTTTCCAATGCAAATAAAGATGGTGTCGCTCGTCTACAACAGGTAGCAAACTAACACGACATACCCATGTTCTGTAAGTGCTGCCACTCACAACAGCAGAGGGCGGAGACAAAAAGCAGCAGTAAGCTATACAGCTTCCAACAGCCTTCTGTGTGTAAAGAAAACTCTGCTTCATCCAGTAAGTCATCAGACAGTGCCCCTCACTGACAATAAACCCCGTTTGTTTGCTTTAAATCAACTTTCTTTCACTTCACCCTGATTCACTGCATACGCAACAAAACAAGGAACCACAACAAGTTATTCTGGTTTGACAAGACGAACAAGCAGAGCACCTGCGCCAAAAAAACAACTAATATTTGGTGTTGCAGTATGAGGGATTAACTCATATATATGTATATTAAGACTTTCATAAATACACAAATAGAGAGAAAGAAACAGAATAACTCAAATGCTGCCTTGTTGACTGCATTTTTTACCCAGACTATGATTTTTCCCCCCAATTTACACCAAGCAACTGTGTTTGCAAGGCATACTATTATAGAAGAAAAGGGTGTCTGTCAGAAAATAGCCTCACGTCCACGTGACGTCACATCAAGTGAAGATGAGTCGTGCAGGGACCCTGTTATTGACTCTTACTGACTGCAGTCAAGTGAGCCCTCACATGCGAAGAGAAAGTCAAGCAAGCTGTACCACCAGCCGTACCTACAATGTTGTTGCACTTTTCTTATAGATATTACGGTATGGGTGCCGACTGGCTTATATACACAAGAGTCAAATCAAGAGTTTTGAAATATTTGCAATTTTCTCACTATACTGTACATTTCTATTCAACTTGATCATATCCCCAATTAAATAAAATTGCAAAACTGTATTTTTGATATTGTGTATTTTTTTTTAGCATTTATTACAGGAAAACTATTACAGATGATGCAAATATTTCACTGGATTCTTACTCTGGATCACCCTCACTCTTCCTCTTCCGCCTCACAGCTGTCTGAATTGTACGGTTTCTGAGAAATTTCTGTACTGTATTTTGAATAATTTCATTATATAGCTGACATTACAGGGAACCCGTAAGAGGTGACACAAATATTTCACTGGATTCTAACCCTAGGTCACCCTGACTCTTCCTCCTCTGGCTCACAGCCTAATGAACTGTACGGTTTGACAGAAAACTAAACATAAACGGATACCGTATTGAAAAGTTAGTGTACACTTTTACAGAGAGAACAATGGGAATGATTTCCTGAAGTGTTCTTCAGGGCTGAAATGTTGGATCAGTTAGAAGGAGCTCTGCTGCTTCACAAGGGTGAAATGGAGCAAGTGTAATGGATTGTCCATGATGGAGAGCAGTTTGTTCAGTGACCTATGTCATCCAGTCTAGTCTGTCATTCAGGTGAAGCCCATAATACCTGTAGCTGTCCAATGTTTTGACCTCCACAACCATGATGGCGATGGGCATAGTCCCAGTTTTTTTCCTTCTGAGGTCACCCAGCATCTCTTTTGTCTTACTGACATTCAGATGGAAGAGGTGATTTCATGCAGACCACTCAAAAAAGTTCCTCACCAGATTCCTGTGCTCCCTCAGTACACCCAACAAATACAGTGTTGTCAGTGTCAACCCTCTTCAGTTTGCTTACCAGCCTTGTGGGAGTGGAGCAACAGGTGCAACCGGTAGATAACTCTGACAACACTGCACTGTTACAGAGTTTGTATTTTTTTGTTGTTGTTATTTTCAATGTGTAGTGTAAGAATTATAATTTATAATTAGCTAATATTTCAAAGCTAGAAGTGAAATGAGTTGTGAAATAGTGAAAAAATGAATTAGAAGACTCTTGTGTTTCTAAGCCTGTCGGCACCTATACCGTAATATCTGTAAGAAAAGTGCAACAACATCGTAGGCGCGGCTGACTGTGCGGCTAGCTTGACTGTCACTTCGCATGTGAGGCTCACTTGACCGCGGTCCTAAACAAGCGCACGAGCTCATACTGACTTTCGGTTCCTCGCTGGTCCCACCCTCCACACAGGTCGTTGCTGTACGTGTTTAAAAGCGAGGTCAGGCAGAATAAAGGCGCGGTTCATAGTGGTTTTACAAAAAGGGAGCTTAGAGAAAGCTTTCTGAGTCCCAATAGTGAATGTACAACGTCATTATGAGGAAATAGAAAGCTTGTAATGGAGTCGAGCGAGGAGGGCCACCACAGTAAAGCGATGACTCCATTTATCGTCATCGCCCATATTTAGCTTTGATTGCATTCGTATTTAAAATTAGCCACCAGCGTTAGCCTAAAGCGGTCAAATTCGGGGGACTTCAGCAAAACCTAAGTTCAGCAAGTTTCGTGTTTGCACTTCCTGGCTGTAAAGCTGCTAGCCAGGTTGCTGTTAGCAAGCTAATATTCGTTACCGACACTCACGCGAACTGGCTAGCGAAATAAAAAATAACTTTAACAACTGAAAATATCTGACGTTGCTATTGTGAGTCTGTAAAAGTAAAATGATGACACTTTAGGAAAAGGCCAGGAGAACAACACCAAAAACTACCATACTCACTGATTGTGAACTGTGCAACAGCGAGGTCGAAACTCCAAAGATGAGTAGTAGATATCTGCTGGCGGTAGAAGCGCACGTAAGAATCTGATTGGTGGGAAGGTGTGTCTCTCAACAGGGCCGGGCTGCCATTGGATGACGGGTGTAGTTTTATTCTGAAAGCGCTTCCGTTGCACTAGCGTGACGGGGTGTAGCGCGAACGAGTGTTTTGTAACGAGCGACTCTAGCTTGTCGAAAACCGAAACCAAGTTTCTGTTTTCTATATCTAAATCGGACACTAGAAATACCCTAAAAATAAATACTTAAAAAAAGAGGCCTTAACCTCTCTTTGTATTGCTCACAGTAAACGCAGTGAGTGAATAGTGACACAACGTATAGAACTTATGTCTAAGTTAAAAGTTTAAGATATGAGAGTAAAAATGTCGTAAACTGCACAGAATCGATGTAACAACCGATCACAACCCGACATAAGTGAGCAGCAAAGGAGAACAACAAGTACGCAAAATAAGGCGCTGCTCTTCATGTGACTGCTGCACGCCAAATTATGGAAATTGGAAATTCTCGGTGTCTCTAACCTGCTTAGATAATAACCACTGGGTCAGTCTGAAACTTGTGTTATAATACTCAATGGAACTTCCTTCAAATTTAAAGCTGAATATATTTTTTCTCCTTAGCTAAGTATCATTAACTCACATCATTATGTCTTATCAGTAGCATGTATTTGAAGGGCATGTTGATAACATCTTAAAATCTAAATAATAACAACATTAAGATCATATGATCTTGTGTAATTTAGCTTTTTTTTAAACACAGTATATAAAATTATAGAATTATTCAAATTGCCATCTGAGTACAAAAAGCAATTACTAATGTTGCTAGATCTTTTTTACATGAGGTTGCAGTGCATTATTAAACATTACTTCTTTAGCATCAACATTAGATTATTAGAATGACATATTCTTATGAGTGAAACTAAGATTGTTTTTCATCATTGAACCACTGCTTTACTTTTGCTAAAATGCCCTTTAAAAACTTACAACTTAAGACATTTATTTAGCAGTTATACATAAAGTCTGCAAATGTGACATAACAGTAAACTTCCAGTAGAGGGAGACACAGACAGAAAAACGCAAAGGAGTTGACTCATCTTTACTTAGGGTAACTAATCAGGTGACACCCCAGTTTTGATAAAATCACTTCTTTATCTAACAAGGAGGAAACCTGCTGAGGGCAAGCTGTTGTTTTTAGCATGCACTGCGGTAAACTCCTGTGAATGTGTGTGTCTCAAGCCATAAAACCTTTTTATGCAAGATGTCATGCACAGTAGCACCAGTTGCCTTGAAGAAATAGGCTGATGGTAAATAAAAGGATGTTATACTACTGGCCATATATATCAATATATTTTTCCCAGTGTGTGAG